AGTAATGGAGATATTAAATCGAACTGAAAAAAATCAGATACAAAAATGAGGAAGTGAAATTATCAGCTGAGAGAAGAGAAATTTTAAAAGCGAAACTAACTGCAGTGATTATTTGCAATATTATTAAATTCTTAACTAGTTTACATATCAGTTATCAGTTGCATTTGTGATTATTTTTAAAATCAGTACTTAACAACAGCTGTCTCATCTTTCTTTATGCAGGAAATTTTTACCGATTTTTTTCTTGCCTCTGTTCTGATATCAGTTGGTATCTACTTACGACGTAAACAAATGCCCTATTTTGAAGCATTTGTGAAAGTAAATTTTGTTCGCAACTGCTTTAAAATACATTGAAAAAATTACTAGAGTGATGAAAAATAATTCCCATCATAAAAAAATTAATCGCAGTGTTTTTAATTTGTAGCAAAATGTAATGGTTATAGAGGATGCAAGAGAAATGATAGCCACAACTTTTAAAGGCGCACAGAATATGACAAAATTAACAATTTTATCCATACATTGTGCGATGGAATGTGAACTCTCAATGTAGAAAGACAGTAAGCACGAAGAATACAGAAGAAGAAAAGTCATTTTAAATTATGAGTATTTACAATATTTAAAAGAATTGTTGATGAACATCCAATGCCAAAAAAATGCATTACTACGATGACGGGACGACTGGCGTACACTTTGAAAGATGCCCAGCATGTGGCGTAGCTAATTTTAGCGTTAAAGTTTTCACATGAGCCGATCTGCGTCTTGTGAATGAGATCCGTCGTCACAGTAATTTGCGTTTTGTAGTTGGTGATCGTTCATATGTTCACACAATTCTTTTAAACATCAAAAACCATTTCGGTAAAACTCGACAGCACAAGAGAGGAGTAAAAATGATTCATCTTTTTGTTAGAAATATTAGGATTTTTTTGGAGGTCGGAGAGATGAAAAATTAACAACGGCTTCGCCGGGAATCGAACCGCGGAGCTCTGGAATACCGGCCCAGTGTGCAAACCACTCCACCAAGGCACCCTGGGTTTTTACGGAACTAATCGCCAAATCCTGGGTGTGGAGAATCATCATCCAATACCCTTTTACTTCGGGCGCCACTGTAGAGACATTAGGATTTTTTTGGAGGCCGGAGAGATGAAAAATTAATAACGCCTTCGCCGGGATCGAACCACGGACCTCTGGAATACCGGCCCAGTGTGCAAACTACTACACCCCGAAGGCACGCCAGAAAGGAGGGAGAATTACGTTATACATATACACCGAATTTTATAACCTCGTAAAGCGAACTGCACGAAAAAGTTTTCTTTGTGGCTCAGACATAACCGGGAGTTTTTAAAGTGCCTTGAAAAGACATCTATCAATGTTCTCCCCTTTCAGAGGGTTAGAGATTAATACTAAGTTTTACATTTCGAAGCCAAACTGCGTAAAACAAAAAAAAGGAAAACAAAGAAACAGAATTATCAAGCACAAGAACAGGTAAAGAACAAGTAACAATTACTAATAAGTACACTAATTAACTGTAGCAATTTTAATAAAAGCAAGAACTAACAAAGAAAGTAAAAGATATTAGTAAACTCAAATATTGGCTATTAGAAATATCTTTCATTCATTACCGTAATAGTGGAAAGGTTTATAGTATTATAAATTAGATAATTATAAAGCATATGAATTAGATTTCTTATAAATCCTACCAATTAAAGTTATTATTAATTTTGCATATCTCTCTAGAAATAATAGTAATGAAATGCTGTTGTTGTTGCCTTGCCCGGGAATTTCATGGGAGAATGGTTGCCAGAGCCTCAAGGAGGTGGGACGTTACCTTCCACCCCATTTTTGAGTGAGACCACCCCGGGGGGTCAATGGATACCTCTCCACTTTCCTCAAACCACATGAGAGGACTTTCGGCTCGCCATATATTTAGAGCGCCCCTATGACGCAAAGACACTGTACAAACATCCATGCCTTCTCTGGGATTGGAACCCCGGCCCTTCAGTACGGCAGTAGTCTTCCCTAACCACTATACCGTCTGGGCGGCATTGTAATGAAATCTGAACTAGAACAGAAAATTTAATATAATTATATAGCGTGCAAACGATTATTTAATGCCAAAAATTGTAAAAGTGTGATAGAGACGTCCAAACGGGACAGTGGTTAGTGACTCTGATTACCCTACCGAAGGGAGTGGGTTCGAATCCCCGGAGAAGGCATGGATATTTATAAATGTAAAGTATCTCTGCGGCATGGGGGACACTCAAAATGCATGGCAGTCCGAAACCGAACCTGCTGAACATTACAACCGTTACGCCACGAAGGCATGCTAAGAAGGAGGAATACCTTATAAAAGTAACGATGCAAATATTTATAAAAATTATTAGTTAGATATACTATTTGTTTCCTGTGAGTTAGATATATTATGAATTACATTAACAGAAGTGTTAAACTAAATTTAAAAATACATATCCATTGCTTTCAAATCGCTCAAACTAAGTAGGCTAGGTAAAGTTTTAATTTGTAAAGTAAATTAAAGAACTTTTAATAGATCTAATGATAAAATCCTGGGATATGGCAAAGCGAAGACTATAGAAGAGAAGTTGCATGTGTTTTAATATCAACAATATAAGCAACAAATATATATCAATGAGGTGTTAAAAACGTAACAATTCTAATAAAATTAAATAGCATAAAGGAGAAAAATTAAAAACCAAATAAAGGCTTGACATGAAACCTATTACTATAATATAATTATACGTTTGGAATTATTTACGTATAATAGTAAATTTTAAATAAATTTAAATTACCAGATTTATTTTAGAAAATTAAAGGATTCTAAAATTTGTTTAGAAAAGAAGAAAATGATAAACTGAGCCAAAAATGTGCAAACTTTTACGATTACATTTCGTTCGCCGTGCTCTTTGTACTTTCTGTGTTTCTGTATTCACATTCTACCGGATATTGCATTGCGAAAACTGTTACTTTTATCATGTTTCGTCACCCCTTAAAGCTGTGAGCTATATTCTGTATATATTGTGTTTACAAAAGTCTGTACATAGCCTTTATTTTCACAATCATTGTTCGTAGACATATACTGCGAATTATATAAGTGTTTTAAAGGACGCAAATATTCATATTTTGGCATTTTTAAATAAAAAGAAATCAATATTATAAAATTATGAAAATTAACTTTGTTTACTATCCCGCGGTCCTTAACTTAATATTCAGTAAATGTTTGTATTCGTAATAAAAAAAAAATCTGAAAGGTTTCAGATTTTAAATTACGTCCAAAGGGAGCGTTTTTTAACGTTTTTTAACCTTTATTTATTAAATTGTACAGACATTAGGTTATTTCGAAGCAGTAAAGATGAAAAATAGGCAATGCTCTCGCCAGACTTGAGCCACGGACCTCTCAAATATGCGCCGAGCGTGTTGATCACTACACTACCAAGGCATACTAAGAAGGCGGGGAAGAAATACCTTATATACTTCCCCTTTTAAAGGGCGACTGGAGATTAGGGGACTCAATCGCCCAATTCTGGTGGTGGAGAATCATCATTCACCACTTTTTTTTTTAGTTCGGGTGCCGCTGTAGAGACATTAGGTTATTTCGAAGAAGTAGAAGTGAAAAATGAGCAATGCCCTCGCCGGAACTCGAGCCATAGACCTCTCGAATACGCGCCGAGCGTGCTGATCACTACATTACGAACGCATGCTAAGAAGGCTGGAGAAATACCTTATAAAATATCATGTTCTACATACTCAAACCATAAAATTCAGTTCAACAGCAATATCGCAAAATAATTTTAAATTGAGCATATCTTTAGAATTTCTGATACGAAGTCTTCCGCTGGAGATAAAAATGTTTCTTCTTCTTTTTTTTTTTTTTTTTTTTTTTTCCAGTACAGTGTTGCCACGGCTCAATTTGAAATCATTTAGTTTTTTTAACCAAAAAATCGTGTTACTCAATCTGAAATCAATAATAAAACAAATTTCAAATTCTAATTAGGGCTTTCACATGCCCATATTCTGTGGAAGATTACATTATTCAAATTTTGATGGGTCTAGGTACCGTTGTTTTATCACAATGCGAGAAACATGCATACATTCATGTAGATTATTGATTACTTAATTTCTTTAAATATAATACAGGGCGATAATATTTGGTGGCAACAATTTGAAGAATGATTCACCATTTATAGTTTTCAACGCAAAATACCAAAACGAAATTAATTGTCCTTCTGGGAAAATTGCCTCTTTGGACTAATAAAAAGCACAGAATATTTTACTTTTTTAATTTTATATCACATTTTATGTGTTTTTATTTAAACTTATTTTTTGCAGAAACAGACGATTCTGCATTTTGAAAGTATGTCAGACATGATAAAACAAAATTCTTTTGCAAGCTCCGTGTTCTAAGCTGCCGCATCTTTCAAGTTATATAAGTTTTTATGGTCGTTTCTTTTTTCCCGACAGTGTATATGAGAAGCCGAAGAAAACCTACTAAATTAATTGTTATAAACCTATTTTTTTCCATTTTAAATTAATTGTTTAAAATAAAAAAAAACAAACAAAAAAAAAAAAAAAAAAAAAAAAAAAAAAAAAAAAAAAAAAACAAAAAAAAAAAAAAAAAAAAAAAAAAACAAAACAAAAAAAAAAAACCCCCCCCTTTGAAAGAAAAGATTATGTTTCAGACTTTTTTTCCATTTTCAGTCGTCAAAATTATTTTGCCCTGTATTGCCTTTGAAAGAAATTTCGCCATATTAACTTAATGTGATTAAGCTGAGATTATCTTTTGAACTTCATACACTATGACCAATACATGAATTATTTAAACAAATATTTGCTTTTATCGAATAAGATTAAAATAAAATTGCATTATGTGCATTTCTTTATAAATTGCATTATAAATATCAAAAAGAAATTATGTGAAATCAAAATAAAATTTCCAATTCTACTTAAGAACAAATGCTAATTGAATGTATTTTTAAACATGTTTTCAGGTTTCTTGAAGTCAACATTAGAAGATTCATAACACTGAAGATGTCAAAGAAACTTTTGTTTAACTTGGCTTTTATAGCTAGGTCAGTAAATTAAAATCTTCTCTAACGATATGAACTGACTACTAGTAAGAAAGTTTACTGTTACTTTTTAATGTAATATTTGAACTTATGTTAGCATTTTTGTTTTCATATGTTGGAAAGAGAATCTGCGGAATCGTTCCTTCCCAATTTAACAAACAATACAATTTTTGCTAAACATTTAAATTTCATTTTTGAACGGAATCCTGCTGAAAGCTTTTGTATAGAATTTAATTAGTCATAGTTAACTTCAGAAATTAATATCTTAATTTTGGAATTTGGAAAAACTTATGAAATACTTTTCACGTATATTTGATATAGTGAATATTCAGTTTGATCTAATTTTAAGAGCTTTCGTCGATGTCCTTAACCTTGATTTTTTACTTCCTTGTACGAAGTAAAAAGGAAGTATTGTAATCGCGAAAAGTTTCAGGCAGCATATTTGAACGAAAATATCCATTTTGACTGCTATCGAATGCAATTTAACCATGTTTTTGCGTGATATCTGTGCGTAAGGACAGAATAAAATACTCTTCCTTCAAAAAATTATAAAACTGCTTTAAAATTAATTCTGAAGACAATTTTTCGTGGCGTCTGTACGAACGTATGTACGTACGTATCTCGCATAACTCAAAAACGAGTAGCCTCAGAACGTTGGAATTTTGTATATAGGACTGCTATAACATGTAGATGTGCACCTCGTATTTTGGTTGCAATCGGCCGCACCAAATGTATATAAATATATTTATATATATATCCACTCTATTACTCGGCTCAGTGATCTCAGTTTCTTTACTCTTATATGTTTGTAAATTGTACATTTTTTGCTTTAAAACGATTGAATTACAGGGGTTGGACAAAAATATGGAAACATCTTGAAAAAAACATGTTTCTTTGCTTAATATGGTGTAGGAAATCCGTTGGCATCCAAAACAGCTTGCAGTCTTCTCGGAATGAATAAATACAGTTCCTGTATGTTTGCCAAGGGAATATTATACCTTTCTTCCTGCAAAACGGTGGCAAGTTCAGATAACGATGTTGCCGGTGGATAACGAGAACACACTTTCCGTTCCAATGTAGACCACAAAGGTTCGATAATATTCAGGTCTGGTGATTATGGTGGCCAGGGGAGATGGGGACAACTCATCCTCGTGCTCAGAAAACCAGTCCTGGACAATGTGAGCTGTGTGAACAGGTGCTTTGTCGTCTTGGAAGACACCATCACCATCGGGGAACAAAGTTTGTACTATGGGATGAACTTGATCAGCCAAAATGTTCACATAAGTCTTGGAAGTCATGTGCCCTGACACAGTTATCATAGGGCTATCAGAGAACCACGATATGGCTGCCCGAACCATAACAGAACCCCCGCCATGTTTCACTCTTGGCAACAAGCAGTCTGTATTATAGGCTTGAGATGGCGTTTCTAGACGTAAACTCGGCCAGAAGTGGGAAACAATGTGAAAGAAGACTCGTCAGACCATATTACTCGCTTCCACTGCTCTATAGTCCAGGCTTTATGACTTAAACACCACCTTTTCCTGTTGCGGGCATTAGCATCACTGATGAGTAGCTTCTCAATTGCAGCACGGCCAGCAATTCCCTGTTTATGAAGCTCCCTTCTAATTGTTTTGGTACTCACAGGGTTCGGTAACACATATTTCATTCATTTCATTTCAGCAGTAACTTTTGCAGCTGTGGTCTTCTTATTTTTCGTCACAATTGCCCTTAATGATCGTCTGTCACGATCACTCAGGACACACTTTCGTCCGCGCTGTGATTTAGCAGATGATGTTTTTTCCGCTTTTCAAATATGCGGAATAAATCTTCGATACAGTACCTCTTGAAACACTAAACACCTCGGCTACCTTGCTTACGGAAGCATCTACCATACGTGCTCCAACAATTTGCCCACGTTCGAAGTCTGTTAACTCTGACATAATGCAATGACAACCTCACATAACAGTACTCCGACAACAACTGAACTGTTTAGCACATTTACGAAGTTGTATAGGTGGCGTCAGTAGTCAAAAATGCCAGCGCCACCTACATATTTCATTAAAATCAATCTTTCTTTTCAAACATGCATTTCACAAGGTGTTTCCATATTTTTGTCCATCTACTGTATGTTGTTTTTATCTTCCGGTTAAGGGTTTTATGCCTTTAGTAAATCTGTGTGCAATATTTTTAGAATTATCAGCAATTTTAAAGTTGTTTAATTGCCGCTAAGCCTGTTTTTAATGGCGGCCATTGATGTTTACATTTGAAACAGGAGACTAGTGGATTTGTTGCCAATCTAGAGAAACTTAGCTTCGCAACAACAAAGATAACGCATTCATTTATTATTGCCAATTAAATCATGCTTAATTATTTCTGGAATTTTTTCGATGAAATAAGCGTTTGAGATTTGCTTCGTAATTTTTAATATAGATATTTTGAGTTTTTATGTATTTTTGGCTTCTCGCGAAGTGAGAACTGAATTAATGAAATGAGAAATACTCAATCGTCTGTGAAAAACTGTTTCTTTCTTTCTTTTTTTTTTTTTTTTTGCTTAATTTCTTTTATACATAGTTCTAGCTTTGTTATAGTATTTGAATAGAAAATGTGGCAACGATTAGATAATTCTTTAAATGATATACATTTTGTGCATTCTGAGTTATAATATGAATGAAATATAATACTGTTAAGTAAACCTAGCGCCAGAGTGTCGCTATGGTAAACAAAGTGAATTTTAAAGAATGCATTTATTCTATTGTGGTTTATGCGCTGTCGGCGAAGTAGGTTTAATTCAATCTGATAAGTTTAAATAAAATGCAAGAAAAAAATGCGTATAATTTAATATTCCGTATTCATGTGGTGTACACATCATATTTTTTTTAATATTGCTGCGTTCTATAGGTTCGTGGATTTGGAATGACTGATGACAGCACTTGATGGAGATCAAAACACAGTGTATCCACCAGTACTATACAGGGCAGCTCCAGAGCCTTCGAAAAACTACTAAATTTCGAAAAAACTTCGAAAATCTACTTCGAAAAACTAAACTTTACAGCCTTCGAAAACTACGATAAACACGCTGAAACAATCAGCAACACAGCCTTTAGGCTATAACGGTAAAGACACCTTCTCGGCAAAGCACTAAAGTACAGCTCCGGACTCGGTTCGGTCGCTCTCAAGCTAATCTCTGAGTTCAAAACACTACTACTGAACCCAACATACTCTCGATACTCTGCGTACAGGAGATACTCTGCATACTTTGAGAACATTCATGCTCTGTCTATGACATATCGCCAATTATGCCGCCAAATGGGCGATTTCGCGCCAAATCTAGCAAGCCAAAATTTACTTGCAGCTTTCTGGCAATCCTAAGCCTGCTTTGCGGGGAAGCTATCTTAGCAGCTTTGAAGCCGCAGCTGGGCATTTTGTAACAATATTTTATTAACTTATTGGTTAACTGGTATCCGCCGGCACAACGTGATTAATCTGTTGATACCTTCTGGCAATGAAATCTGTTTTTTTTTTTTATTATTTCCACGGTTATGGTTTGGCACTCGCAAACGAAGGGAATTCAAACAGATTATTATTTTTCGCAGCTTCTTTTTGCACTAATGCGAACTCTTTTAAGTAAGAAAAAAAGTGATGATGAGCCGTACTATATTGTCACTTGTTGCTCTTCCTTGCTACTTTACATTTACGTTCAGTTGTTTGCTTGTAGACGCCAGTCTCGAGTTTACAGGCAGGGCATTAACGCCCCCCTCCTCAAATAAAAAAATGGTATCCCCATCCTTCCTTATCCTTTCCCGAAAACAGAGAAAAAATAATAAGAAAAGAAATACAAATCTCGACTTTGTAGAAAAACCCGTAATAACTACCATGTTTACCGAACTGTGTCTAGAATCAAGAATCATGGCTGGTATTTTTGGCTATTTAGCGGCGGATACCGGATATCAAATAAAAACTGATTTTGAAAAATGGCTTGGATGATGAATGTTGTCTTAAGTTATTCATGAAGTGATTTCTGTAAAATTTTCAGATCAGTCAGTTTTCGTCTTTGGGGCGGAAAGAAAATATTACATCGTTGGACAGTTCTTGCACACTTAATGAATTGAGGACTTCAATTGAGTGACGAAGAACTTAGATACACTGATGAATTGAAATAAGAGTTTAGGAAGACTAAACTGTTTAACTAACTCAAAGTATAGAAGACTAGTTGGCACATCAAGAGAGGTGCATTTGTCCATGACTTTCTAAGGGAAGCTTACCTGTATTTATGTTATACGTAAGAGAAGTGTGGGCAACTTCACTCACCAAGCTGGTTCAATTGTCCGAAAATCCTACATAAACTATCACCATTTTGCAACTTTACTTGGAGGTTAGGAGTCACTGCTAAGCCATTTAAAAAGATACGGTTTGCCCTATCTGTCTGAAAGCAAATGAGATTCAGTTACATGTCTCATGTAAACAAAAAAATCCATTTTTCTTTTCATTATCAGGTACATAGTGATTTTTCTTTATCATTCTGTATTACAGGAATGTAAGTATCGAGTTCAAAACGAATATAAGTTTGAACGTTATATTATTACTCTTAATTCTATTTAAAATAATTTCATTTTCTTATTTTTCAGGCTGGATAATGGAAACAGTATCGCAAAACTTTTCATCTTTGAATTATTTCAAAAGAAAAACAAACTTTGGAGTTTGTTTCATTTAAAGTGTATTTCCTTCTGATAGAAGCATAGATATGATGGGAACTGTGATTATTTAGAATCGCCAACATTTTTATTACGCTCATACCCTTATTTCTACAGGGTGTTTCAAAAATGAATGTACCATTTGTTATGGTAACTGAAAGAATATAGGCATATGTGAAAGAGTTTTCTTGCTATATAGGTTACCTGAAGTTCCAATACAGCAGTTAAATTCAACATTTTCGTCTTCAATATTTTTTTTCCTTTATACTCTTACCAGAATATATCTCGATTAACTTTGAAAGACTTACACAAATTTTATTGGCCTTCATAATCATTCTTTGCAGAACTGTACACGCCATCTGATATATCCTGTATTTATTAAGATGTTTTCGATATTTAGATTATCTCTATGCCTATGAAATTTAATATATCATCATGCTTTCATGATGATACATTAAACAAATCATTTCATAAAATTAATTCATTTAATTAATATATCATCATGTTTTTATATGTCATCATGAACTGAATTATTTTTAATGGAAATGCATCATTTATATTCACATGGTTCTGAAAATGCAAAGAAATAAATCAAAACCATAATAATTTTTTAATCGAAGAAAGAATGTTTCTGAATGCTTAAATAAAAAATTGTCGCATTAAATACAATTTATGTAATATGTAAAGTGTTTCAAAAAGAAAAAGCAAATTTTACTTGCTTGTAAAACTGTTATTTCTTACAATACAAAAACGTGTCATAAAGTAGCTGATAATAAAAAAAGAAATGTTTGCTATGACAGCTATTCTGTGTGCACAGTTTTTATAAATCTGTATACTCCAAAGAGAGAACCAGTTTCATTCTGCATGTTTTCTATTTGATGAGTAATTATAAATCGAATTGGTGCAAGTAGCTATGCTGCAAATTTTTGTTGAAATTCACGTAATATGGAGAGCTGAATTATTTCTTAAATAAAACCATGAAGGAGATTACAGAGCATCAGAATTGAACTTTAAGAACAGAGCACATGGTCATCTTGAGTGTTTTGACAAATCAGTAATAAACAACTATGTTCCAATAATGTAAAAGCTATTGAACACAGAGGCATAATCTTTCGTCCTTTACTACTCAAATTCTGAAAGACACACTTTTTATAATGGCAGAAATAATTATTTTAAGTAAGAAAAATCAGAAGTAAACTCTGCTTCTTTTCGTTTTGAAACGTCACGTGCTTAACACAAAAAGATAAGATATTATTGAGCTTGAGACGCTTTGCCAGCATTACATAATATTTATTGGTTTTAAGTAATGCATTTTATGTGATATATTACGCATTAGGTGTAAATATTTAAATAAAGTATTCACATATTTTATTCTGCGTTGTTTCATGTTAATCAGTCTTGTTTGAATTTCATTAACTTAACAGCACAACATCATTTAAGAACCTAAATTAATTGTAATAAAAGTGCTTTTTATTACAAATAATTTAAATGGGAACGAGGACAGATGTACTCTAAAAAATCCCGGTGTTGCCTAAATTGCGCAGATTTTTTTTTACATTAAAATTATTGATAAACGCAAATTTACCAAAAAATGCGTATTTTTTGCATGTTAGTATCCCGATGAATAACGTTTCCAATTATCTCGATTTTTATTCTTTTTCAGGAACAAACTGAAAATCTTTTCAATATATACAGTATTGAGGAGCCGGTAACTATATTTTTTTGAAGATCAAAGAGCATTTTTCAGAGGATCTTATATATATGCGGCTTAAGTGTCTATTTGTCCCCGATAGTTTATTGGTTGCTTGCGTAACTGTACTAGCCAATAGGGTGAAGTTGCCACGCCATTCAAATAGTCCATATACATTGATACCATACATGAAGTTATAATTGTTTTAATTAAATTATCATGGTATTTAAGAACATTTAAATATTTTTAATTCATACAATTGTTACTTATTATGCATTTAACTATATTTACATATGAATTACCTAGAAACTTGCAATACGTTGAGAAATTAAAGGAGACGAAACCAACTAACAAGTTATGCGTAGTACATCTCATCAGGTAGGTTTACCCAAACTATGCTACGTAATATCCTTTCGCGTAAAGACTTTAAAATTTTGCCCGATTTTATTCCGACATTGTATTTTAAACTGAATTTTCTGCTGAACGCAAAGTGAGCGTGTCACGGGGAACGTGAACATTTGTTTGCATTAGCAATCATCTGTTTTTGAAATGGTTTACAACTGAACGCAAGAGTTCGTGACTTCCTGTTCAAGAGTTCGTGACTTCCTGTTCAAGAGTTCGTGAAAGAACGGACGTAAAATTTAAAATAATGGATGGTCCTCTGCAAAGCGAGATTAAAAATGATGAAAAGATCTACACAAGAAATGTTGTGTACAAAGAAATCTTTGACATGCGAATTAACATTTTGTTATTTAAATCGCCTTTTATTGAGCTAGCGGTGGCTCTTAAGAAGTGTGCCGCCAGTGGTTTCCTTCACTGCACTCTACTTTAAGCAATTCAGCAAGTAGAAGGGCAGTAAGCAAAGGGGCGTCCTCGCCGCCTGCTCTGGGTAATTCAGTTTGAACACATAACCAATGATAGATTGATAACATTTATTTTCCCAAAAGAAGCTCTTTACAGTTCTGCAGCTTTCCGCAAAAGTACTCCTACAACTCTTCTCAGTATGACTCAGCACAATCAGTTCACACCACTTCAAACTACTAATAACACAACCACTTCAAACTACTCAGCACAACCACTTCAAACTACTAATAACATTAAACACAAAGCACTGCAAAGCGTATCTAAAGAACGAAGCTTGCACGGAGATCTCTCAATACTCCGAAGTCAGTTCTGCCGCCAAGAAATTTCCTGTACCTTCGATTTCTCGAAATTACTGGAAGCATGTACAGTTACAGTTTCATATGGAGGCAGATATAGTTATAGTTTCATAGGAATTAGACGAATTACAGTTATACAGGGATCGGACCTAAATATTTCCAAATGCTCGCCAGGTTTGGCGACTTTTAGTGGTTTCTTGCCAAATTTGACGATAAAAATTAGTCGCCAGAATCATCACCAGCTTGGTGATATTTCGTCGATTTAGCGATATAGCCATTAACCTCAATGGTATATTGACTTATATTACCTCAATGTTACACATGACATGCCCCTGTAATCTTATTTTTACGTCAACGCTTCACTCTTTAGGCCCTTCGTGTTACATTATACAAGAGATGCTACAATTTTAAAACTAAATTCACTAAAATCGTTTACATGTTACAATACAAATAAAGATCCTTAAGCACTGACAGCGCGCATAGAATCTCCTCTACAGGTACCAGAGATGTAGATTTTCTTGGCATCACTCAAACCATTTTCGGTATTGCTTCCGCGTGAAAAGTTTTCCTTAAAAATAATAAATGAAAAGTAAATTTTTCAGAATAAATCTTTTTAATCAGAGGATAATTAAAAATCCACTCGCATCAATAACGACATTTTGAGCTTGATTTCAAAGTTTTATGATGACTATGAGAATCATCACCAACTTTCGTTTTTTGAGGACTCATCTTCAGCTTGTAAAGAAATAAGCTTAATGAGAGGAATTTGAATTTGTAAATTATACGTAATTACAGACCTTACAAAATCGCTGGGTGCTATTATTCAAAAATAGGAAGACTGCACAGAAAGGGTCAAGAAAAATATTTGTCTAAACACCTTATTTTTAGCAAAATTTGATGTGGATTGCTTTTCAAATGACTGAATTCGATCCAACAAACTTTTGTTTTCTGTTAATAGCGTTGCGTTCTACTGGTTTGTGGATTTGGAGTGATTAATAACAATACTCGACGAAGAATCAAAATACAAATTATTCTTCAGTATAACTCAGGACAGTTTGAAAAACACGTTTACAGTCGAAGAGAATACGTTAAACACGCTGAAACAATCAGCGACACAGCCTTCAGTCTTCAACTGTGAAGATAGCTTCACGGCAAAGCACTAAAGTACAGCTCTCGACTCGGTTCGGTCGCTTTTAAGCTAATCTCAAAACACTACTACTGAAATCAACACTCTCTACTACTACTCGAGATACTCTCTTACTCAGCACACAGGCAGGATATATATAGCTTTCGACCTGCCTTCGAGAACATGCATGGGAAAACCGGTAAGAATTCATTCTAGAATTTTCTCGCTCCGTCTATGGCATATCGCTGATTTTGTCCCCAAATGGGCGATTTCGCGCCAAATCTGGCAACCCTGCGTTCCCTTGCCATTTCTGGATACCCTAAAACCGCTTTACGGGGAAGTTATCTTACCGCAGCTGGACCTGTCGTAACAATATTACGAATGGAGTCATTTTTGGTAAAAGATTATTACAATTGCTTTGTTAAAGATATTCAAGAAATTTTTTTTACAACATGTTTATGTAAAAAAGAGATATGTATGGAAAGATTGATAATCTCTTATATGGGTCAGGACCTCGTGATACAAAGCTATTTTACACGATATTTTTCCTATCAATCATTCTGATTTTCTAGGAAAATTGCAGTTCAAATTCATAGATAAGATGTTATGAAAGTAATTGCTCTCTTGCTCAAATTCTATTTATTGAAATGCTTGAAAGTAATTTGCTATTTCATCTTTCTCTATAAAGGCCATGCTATTTAACTGAAGAAAGAAACCGAGTTAGCACTAAAATTAAACATATTTTACTTTTGAATTTGTATAAATTAATTTAATTGTAGATGGATGTATAAATGCATAAAAACATATAAACACAACTTTGTATACATTTTTATATCTTTGAGTATTTTAATATTTGCGGAATTTAAAAATTAATATTTTAAAATTAATATTTGAGCATTATTTATTTTTTAATATTTATTTATTTATTGATAATAAATTAATATTTATTATTATTTTTAATAATAATAATTATTAATTAATAAAATTTTAAAATTTTGCTAGAATTTTCATGCTACTCTAGATAACTTCAATTTCTAGAAATTATTACATTTAAAAATATGTAATCAACAAAGAGTAAAACTATAAAAGATTTTTCTAAAATATTTTAAAATACAATTTGATGAAATGATATTAACTAGTTTAATAATGGTGTCAAAAGCTTTCTTTTTATATAAAATACGCCTGTATCGTTACTTTAATATACGCCTCACGGTTTGTATTTGCATATTTCTCAAGATACACTCAACGTGATCTAATTCTTTTCCATGTTTCATTTAAGCATGGATAAGCATTCATAAGTGAATTTGAAACTGGTATATTCTCTTCTAGTTCAAGATATTTTTTGTTCTTTTGAAGTTGATGCTGAAAAAACGCTTTTTGAGATAAAAATTTCTTTTCTGGGTTTAGATGCATTTTGAAAGTTGATAGTAAAAGTGGCAAAATGAAATCTAAAACACACACACACATATATGTATTAAAAAAAACAAATTTCAGAGAAGTATTGATGTATGAACACTGAGATATAGAAACATAGCAATGTTATTTAGCGTAGATACTTGATCCATATTAAAGAGGAAAAATCCGATTGCGTAGTATGCTAATATGATGAGTTCGTAATATCTGAGAAACTTGGCAGTCGAGGTGGTTTTAATTTCATTTTTACTTCCAATTCAAAATTTTAGCATTTGTATTTTTTCAAACTATTTCTCTTCATTTGCTAATGCTTTGCACTTTCTCTCTAAAAAGCGTTATTCTCATCCAGCCATTTTCTTCTTGAAGGGGAAGGATATGTAAAATAAAAAAAATATCTGTTTTTCAAATAGTAAATTAATAATAGCCCTTTAACTTCCGTCTTCATTCTAAAAATAACAGAGCAATAATTATTCTAACTTAACTCCCTGCAGTTCTGATGCTCACTTTTCGATGAAATCTGAACCCAACACCTGGACATTAATCTGTCATGTGATCTGAAATGGTATAGAAGGTAATTACGGCGCAACTCTCAGTTCTCTTCGATCTTCTTTCTTCTGCTTCATTTTGCTGCATCGCTTTGCCGTTAGCCACGCAGAGTTCACTTTTCCAATTTTCGTCCATTGTTTAAGAAGTTGTAAGCTGCATAAAATTGTGGAGAATCATTATCAAGGAATAAAATGTGTGAAATTTACCGCCAAGCTTTGTCTTGTATCATCTCTCTAACTACGCAGTAAATGTCTCTCCAAGCTATTACAATGCACAGAACCATTGTCAATCCGTTGCAACTTTTACAACAAGCCATCTTATTACAATAATGGCACAGTCTTATTACATATATATACGTATATAATTCAACCGCCTCATCTGTCACCATGCGCCATTCGGACCGAATTATTCTCAAAATAGGGTGGAAGGATGGGGACTTTC